CAGTGAGTTTAGTGAAGGTGCGGTGGAGTCGACACGACGAATCCGAGGCGACTTGGGAGAAGGAGGACTATATTAGGAGGTGTTATCCGAACTTTATGTTTTGAGTTCCCCTTGGTATATTTCTAGTGCCCTCTAGTTGCTTTATTTTCTAATTCCGAGGGCGGAATTCTTTTTAAGGTGGGTAGACTGTAGCGCCCCGTTTGAATATTAGATTTTTTCGAGTTTATTTTAATTAATGGCACTTTATTTTATTAATTATATGCCTTGATTATATAATTATATATGCAATCATTATGTGGATAATATAATTATTTAAATCGTTCAATTTTTATTTTGTGGAACGCCGTTTGAATTTTGGTTTAATCGCGTGAACCGAATTGTTGTTCGTTTTAATTCATTTTTGAACTCTAGCCTATTCAGGGTTTTAGCCGCGGTTCATGCATGGTAATAAGTACTTAATAAGTATTTTCTTAGCCTAAGTAAGTTTTGGAAGCATTATCAATAGTCAAAGCTTTTGTAGCTTCACTTTGCGCAATTTATTGCCGGGGGTAATAAGAACCGAGTCATTCACGTTTCTCTAACCAATGGTTCAAACCATGGTTCTTTTATCTCAGATCCAAGACCATGCAAATGAAATCAGGTGGATTGAGAGTCATATGAGCTATTTTAGTCCATATAAAGGTGAAAGGGAGTCAACTAACTTGGCATTTAGTAGAAATGTGCTAGGTTATCATTATATTGCATGTGCTAGTCTTGTTTTTACCTAAGAGGTGTAAGATCCTTGTCCCCCATGTTCCTTGATGTCAAAAATCAGAGTATCTTAAGCCTTACCAATCAAAAACTCGGCCATGTGCTCAAGTTTCACATGCACATAAGTGTTGGAGAGATTCCCTTACACATGCACCTAAGATTCTTCATTATTTGTTCCTTTTTCATGACCTAAGAGTGAACACTCATGTGAAGCCTTTACTTAAGACAAATACTCAGCTGACTAAGCCACATTTAAACCTTATAATTTTCATGCATCATCACCCCATAGTCCTCTCCAGAGTCTTAGAAGCAATATCAAGTCCAAGAGCAACTTAGAGCCTTTGCCGAGAAGAAC